GGGAATCTTCTTCCTGAGTAAGACATAGTTCAGACTTTTAAAATTATTAGAATACTATGGAAAGGGTACAGGTTGAGATGTGCTACTATGGCTTTAGCATTGGGTTCCTTGTAGACCAAGCTTGCTTGTGAATTCTGAGAATTCAATTATACTTAGAATTGCTCTTAATAAACTGTAACATATAATAGGTAGGACTTAATATTTCTCTGTTATTGTTGTTAGCCTTTCTGATTGCTTAACTTACTTTTATTTCCATTGGTATGCTTATAACATATGTATTGCAACATGATGCTGCAGAGAGACTCTGCTGCACTTAGGAACTTAGCTTTTACATTTATAGGAGCATAGTGAGGTTCCTAGTTGTGCTATAGCTGATCTGACTTAACAGTGCAGTTCCAATAATTTTTGATGCCATTAAAGATGTAAGACAGGAAAGTGAAGCAACTGCTCTCTGCAGGCAAGTGAGAAAAGGCAGTGATGACTCTGACCCCAACTTCCCCATGACATTGTGGGGAGGGAAAAAACCTATAGAAAAAACCCTTAGATAACCAAAATTAAGGTTATCATCTGATGAAGCCACATATAACAAACAACTCAAATTGGGTTGACAGGACCAATTTACCTCTTTATTATGTATTGCTAACAACAGGTATTATATGTAATTTAAAACTTAAACATTTAGAAACTGAGAAAGTTAAAGTTTAGCTGAACCTTTCCAAGCTAACTCTCTGTATCTTACTCTATAGTCTGGAGAAAATAAGCACAGAAAAAGAATAAAATAATATGTAATTTTTTTAGACAATATCATATAATGGGAAAGTCAAAAGCGCAAGACTAGATAAAATTCAGGATGATAATATAATACTTTAAATTTATATGGCCATAATAGATAATAATTAATATCTAATAAATTATTTTTGAGTTTGATCTTTCTGATGGCTCTGCTTTCTAATGTTATTTAAGCAAGACAGCAGCTAGTGATGCAAGTGCATATACAAACCTGAGCCAACTTTGGAAATCCCCATTTTAGATTATGTTAATAGACTTTAGGAAGAAGGCTCGAAGGCAAAGATATTAAAAAAAACCAAACCAAAGAAGTCCTTAGTTGCTTAATCATGAATATACCTATTAATTTCATTATTTTTATTACAATGTTGCTTGCAGGTATCATTTTTTACTTGGGAGGTAACAACACACAGGTTTTTAGAAACAGGCAGTCTGAGCAAAAGCAAGCAATTTAAACAGTGCTATCTTTCTTGCTCTTAGATTTGAATGTTGTAAAACTACCTGTAGAGGAAATAATCTCAAATGGGCCTCCCCTCCCCTTGATGCTTCTTGAGATAAATTTCATCTCCACCAACTCTCTTACCTGATTGTGTACCGAGCTAACCAGACTCACTGAAGTCCCTAATCTTGTATACTAAAATGCGCCAGATGACCGTAAGAAGTGTTTTTCCACACCAAGGTTTAAAAGATTTGAGAGCTTTGTGTGGCAGCCCTAACAAAAGATCTAAAAGACCCCTCAGTTTACTTAGTGGAGATTTTTTCCTAATCTTTCAACAGTTCAAAGCTAATAACAATGTTAAGCAGTTGAAGATGTTTGATGTCGCATACTTTCTCAGAACTAATTTCACAGTTATTTTGCAGAAAGATTTTTTCCAAAAACCCCAAAAGAACTGTAATCAAGCTCTGCTTATAGGACCATGTCCAGCTGGGTCTTAAAAATCTTTAAGGATGGAGACTTCAACCTCTCTGGAAAACCTGTTCTAGTGTTCAATCACCTTTTATAGTGTTTTTGTATGTTCAAACAGTTGCCTGTATTTAAATTTCTGCCTGTTGCCCATTGTTGTCCATTCACTGGGCAACACTGAGTCTTGCTCCATCTTCTTTACTTCCTTGTATCAGGTGTTTATATACATCAGTAAGATCCCTCTGAGCCTCACCTTGAAGCAATCTTCATTCTCTATGTCAGATACTCCAATTGCTTAATTAACTTCCTGACCCTTTGCTAGAGTTGCTCCAGTATGGCCATGTCAGTCTTGTACTGGGAAGCCCAGAACTGGGGATGCAATTCCAGATGTGGTCTCACCAGTGCTGAGCAAGATCTCTCTTGACAATCTTCCTAATCCCTAGTCCGGGACGCTTGTTGTCCTTCTTTGACCCAAAGGCACATTGCTGGCTCACATTCAGCTGCTTATCCACTAAGGACCCCAAGGTTCTCTTCTGCAGAGCTGTTTTCCAGCTGGTTGGCCCCCAGCATGTACTGGTGCCTGGGATTATTCCTCCCAGGTGTGGAACTTGGCATTTCCCTTTGAACTTCATGGGACTCCTGTCGCTCATTCCTTCATCCTGCTGAGTTACTTCTGAGTGGCAGCACTACTATTGCCTATTAATCCAGAGAGTCACTAGATTTCGTGTACACACTGCTAAATGTGTGCTGTTGTATTTTGCTTTAAGAGGAAACTATTTTCTGGAGATGTGCATACCATTGTGTAAATATACTTAATGCCAGCTGCTTCTTGCAATCATGAACCTGAGCCTACATCTAACATCTACGTAAGCTGGAAAGACCATGGCTTTTCCCTAAGCCTGACAGTGTTAGGGGGTTATCAGCTTCTCTTGCACAATTTCAAAATGCTTCCTTTTTAATGTTTTCCATACAGCTGCCTGTTTTGCTACCTGCTTGGCTGTACTACTGAAGCCAAGAGGAAGACTTCAGGACATTAATAAGGCTTGGTGATTTTTTTTGCTTCTCACAGTACAATGGGGGAATTTGCAACAGCTCACTTCTTTGTTGCTACTTCCTGGAAAGAACACAGTAGAACAGAGTTCTCCCTGGTACAGCCTGTTTTCACGTGTGCCGCACTGCTATTTTCAGCTTTAAAAAGCAAAAGGCAAAAATGTACCTAGGGTGATATTATTAGACCAACAGTTTACTTTTCAGTTAAATTAATTTGCTTGTATTAAAATGTGGATAACTAGATAACTGATAAGTTAAAAGGTCAGAATATCAGTCCCAAAAGAAGTTCATGTTGTATTATTGCAACATTTTCTTAAACACTACTGAGGATAGACAGCACTTGGGCTCTCTGGCCTGTTTGGATGCTGCCTACATGTCTCTCTTGCTGCGTGTCCCTGTTCTCTCATCACTTTCACAGGAGAAATGATAGTGATCTCCATGGGCTAAGGAATTAAAAATTTACTGGAAGAAAGTGCTAAGCAAAAGCCAAAGACTGAAATGTTTAGCCTCTTTGAGGAGTTCGTATGCAATGCTTTCATCTCAAACATTGAAAAATTCAGCCTCTCAAACTAATAGGTTTTCAAGCAGTCTGTGTAATAAAAAACAATGTCTTGTATTCTTTTGTCTTCCAAACTCTTGGGTCTGTAATGAATAGAGTTTCAGAGGGCTTTGATTCACCAGCCTCCAAATGAAAGCGGAAACTTGTACTTAGCCCCTTGGTTACTGCGAGATCTGTTAAAACTACTGTGTTAATATGTTTTGAAGTTCCATAAGTAGATTTTCTTAGTATAAAGACATGCTTGCTTTTTTTAGGTGCTATCTCTTCACATCACTCATGCCATTCATGGATTCTAGCCTGGCTAAAATTTCTTAGGTTGACAAAGGCTTCTTTGATCTGCAAAGGGCAATGATACTTGCGGTTGGAAAGACTGTTGGGAAACCAAGGTAAATTTTTTTTTTTTACATCCTCTGTGTTAGTTGGATGCTTTCCACAGAAAAGAAGGAAATACTCCTTTCCAGCAGTGTGGGACTTAATTCCAGTTTAGTGTGTTAATGACCAAATTCAAAGATTATGAACTCAATAGACGTCAATTGTAGTAGAGCACAGTTTCACCAAAAGCAGAGTGTTTTCCTAGATGACTGAAAGTCCACTGACATTTACTGCAGCAATTCAGAATTCTTTCTCCATGTCACTAAATGCAAGGGACCTACAAGCAGACTTGATTATGCCAATACTTAAAAGGAACAATCTGTATCTTTCAGATGCCTTTAAGGCATGTGTTATTGCAACTTGAAAAAACAAATAAAATCCCCAAACAAACCAGCCCCATAATGGAAAAAACAACTTTTAGTTTACTTTAGATTTTTTAAAATTCCTTGTTGATTATTTGTGTTTGCTTGCATATTTTCATATTTCAGAATTGTCACGTAGAGAAAACACAACACTCAGGATCAAACCAATTAAAAAACTTGCCCACTTCCCAGTGGAAAATCCAGGGCGCAGGCATGGCATTTGTAAAGATGTTAGTGCTGCACTCTTCTATAGGATGGGCTGCTTTGGGGGATTTGATGAATATGGCTGTACTTTCTCTCTTCTTGGAATGGGTATCCTTAGGGGAGCAAGGAGGGGGTGCTCACTATGGTCCTTTGCCTAGAAGAGCTTGAATTTTGCCTGGTATGTGTAAAGGCTTCAAAAGCCTGCTTATCTCTTACATACCTATGCTATATATTCATAGCAAGGTCAGACAACCTAGGCTTCTGTCATTCCACCATTAACTTACTGGAACTATTTATCTGCAGGTACATAATTGATGGATCTGGAGGTTTAGCATTTCTCCACCCTGTCTTAACACTGTTTAGTACATCATGTTCCCAAACAGTCCACAAATGTTTGGGATGTGGACTAGGGCACTTATGAAATATTTAGCAAGTTGAGGTATGGTACACTCTGGAGGTTTAGCATTTCTCCACCCTGTCTTAACGCTGTTTAGTACATCATGTTCCCAAACAGACCACAAATGTTTGGGATGTGGACTAGGGCACTTCTTATGAAATATTGAGCAAGTTGAGGTATGGTACACTAAGTTTGCTGCAGTCTAGGAGTTCTTCATCTTGTTCACATTTACATGAATTATGAATTGTGTGATCCTTGTTTAAGATTCCACTATTTGAAACAGTTGGGTAAAGAATCAATAAATTTCTGTGGAACAATTTAATTAGCAGATGTGCTTGGCACTGGTCATTTTACAGAAACTGCCTAAGGCCAGCAGCTGTGAGACTCTTGTTTAGTCATCGCATTAATGACAAGGTAAACATTATTACTGTTTTCCAAAATAGCATGGTATGGGTGTTTGAGGAAATTATTTTCTTAAACAAAAAAAGGAAAGTCTTTGTTCAACTGCAAATCCATGAAATGGACACCATAATTTTGTATATTGAAGTATCCCGTTACAGTGGGCAAGTATTGTGCCTATTTGGAGCTCTATCTTCTAGAGCAAGACTGTATCATTGGCTGCGCTAGTGCACTATAGCTTAGGGTTTTTAAAGGTGAAATACAGAGCATTTGAATCACACAGATTTGAAGCCTAACAACATTGCAATATTAATTTCTTGCAAGACCTCCTGAAATATACAAGGTGTGAAAGAAACAGCACCTTAGAATCTACCTCTTTGCCAAAAGTTATCCTGTATGGATGCTCAACTGGAATAACCAGATCGAGAAATGATGATGGGAACTCTTCTGAAATATCAGTGTAGTATTTACTGAACATGCATCAGAGGCTTTGGTATTTGGGTCATCTTAATACGTCAATCTTCTGATACTGTGTCATTCTTTTATTGCGCATACTCGCTTTGTCTTACGTTGTGGTCCTTTAATACTGTTTCTTGCAAAGCTCATGTTTTGTTTTAAATTTTAGTGTAACCGGGTTCACTCTGCATGATGATTATGAGGGGGAGACCTATAAATTGCTCATGTCTTAAACCATATTATCCTTTAGACATCATTATTACTCCTACTTTCAGGATGCTAAGATGCCAAGAACATGTTTGTGTTCCTTATACACTGTCTTAGCTTGTGAGTGAGCCACAAAATCAAGTCTGGATTGAGAAAACAAATGTTCTAGTACTTCTTGCATTTGTTATGGTTAGGTTTTAGAAGACCTTCTTTGAACACTTTGAAAAGTTTAAATATGGTAGGTTTTTACTGTTCATTCTTTGACATTCAGAGGCTCAGAGTTTTGTTTGTCTTCTGAATGAAATAAAAATTGGCCCCTTTTTTTGATATCCATGGCTCTTCTGAAAGACTTGGGCTGTCATTTAGCATGAACAAATGTACATATGAAATAACATATAGTCTCTGAATTCTTCCTGCAGTTATAGTCAGACACTGCGTGCTATGTGTAATTCTAACTGTGCTTTGATGGCTGGGTTTGCTCACTGAATAAGGAATTCTGCAGATGCTCACATAGTGGTCATCTTAAGTGCTCTTCAGGCTACCTTCCTGTTCGTTGCTGTTTCCCCTTGAGTATGGTCAGAAGTGCACTCAGTGGTATTTCCGTTAGGATCTCAGTCTTTTCCTGTCCTTGATGACAGCACGCAGTCTCTAGGCATCAAGCAGCTGCTGGTTTTGGTTAAGAGTTGTCTGTACTTCTCCAGTATCTATTTAGGTATCTGTATGGCAACAAATGAATCCTATGCATAGGAGATTAGAAAGATTCAATGTCTGTGTTACCCGTTATTCCTTGCTGGAAGGTTTTATTCCAAGTATTTTCCATAATTAGAAAAAAGAATAAAAAACCCAACAACTTACTGACAGTCAAACTAAACTTTAATTCTCTTAATTTTGTCTAATTACTGCACAAGACAGCCTTTGTGTGAGCCTATAGAGGTTTTTCCTTGCCTATTACTTATAAGCTTTCATATTATGCAAGAGGCTTTAAATTTTTTCTGGATAAATTATGTGTAGGTAAAATACTAACTGACACTTTTTAATTAACCTGTTCAGTAATAATGATGCTTTAGTTCATTAGGCACTGCAAATTGGCCTGTATGTTTCTGGTTTCTCCAAATATGGATTAAAATTAAGCTTTCTATTGAGGGTTTTTTTAGCTGAAAATGATAGTTAGAAAGAGTAAACAAATGTAGGATTGTTCTTGTACTCTGCTTCCCCAGCACATGATATTCTAAAAATACTGAAGTACCTAAGACTACTTTAAGTGTCAAAGAATTTCTGCAAAATTGTCCTTCAAGCTGTCTCTATAGCTCCCCCTAAGAAGTTAGTTAATTAGTTGTAAGGATTTTGAACAGCTGTGATTCTCCTGCAGTACAGTCTGAGCCTGACAGGCTAATACCTTAAACACAGGAAAACATTTTTAATGTACTTTTTACAAGTGTAGACTACGGAGACAAATGAATGCATTGTTGATAAATCAAAGCCAAGAGGCGGAGCATCCTGTGGCCACAGCAACTTGACATGCTTCCAGCCTTCTCCAGGACTGTTACAGCCCACTTGTTTTACCTTTGCTACTTCAGCTCCCTCATACTAATTTCACTTTTGGAAGGGTGTGCTGGGCAGAGAAAGCTGATGCTGGTCAGATAGCTACAGCTGTCAGGAAATAACGTGTTTGTACGTGAAGGCGTACTCTGCTTCCTCTTGGGCCACGGAGCCCTAACCACATGATTTTTAGATATAAGGGACTTTCCTGTGATCACAGGAAGATTAAGTAACTGCCCTACTGCTTCTTCCTTCCCTGTTGGGGGGTTAGGATTTGATCCAAAACCAGCAGAAGTCTGTGGACAGACTCTCATTGACTGACAGTGTTTTTTCAAGTTACTCTATAAAGACAGTCTTCATGGAGTGGAAGGTTTGAATAAATGTGATAAACTGAAATAACTGTTCTCTCCTAAAGTCTCTACCCTGCATTTAGCAGTCCCATCAACCTTCAGTGTGAATGTATATGCCAGGGGCCTAACAGGAACTCAATTAGGCCTTACAGAGTTTTCACAAAATTAAAGATATTCTGGACTTAGGGCATTTTCTAGCCCAATCTCCTGCTCAAAGCAGGACTACCAGCAGTAGCTGATCAGGTCAGCCATGGCTTTACCTAGCTGAGTCTAGAAAACCTTAAAGGATGGAGACTCTGCAACTGGAGTGGCCCATTCCAGTGCTGCGTTACCCACCTGGTAAAAAAATTTTCTAGCATCTGGCTTGAACCTCTGAAGTAGAGACATCTGCCTATGCCACTGGTTGTTATCTGCCACTATGGAGAAGAATTTGACTCTGTCTTCATAACTGACCTTCAAGTAGCTGTAGGCTCCTAGTAGACCCTCCCTCTTTCACCTAACTAAACAAGCCTGGCTCCCTCAACCTCTCCTTGTAAGGTGTGTGCTCTGGGGCCCTGTCTTGGAAGCTTTCTACTGCATCCTCTCCAGTTTCTCAATATTTTCTTGGAACTGAGGGCCCTCAAGTTGACTACAGTATTTCAGATGCAGCCTTGCCATTTCTGAGTACTGAGCCATGCTGACTTCTCTCACGTTGCTGACTGCATTTCTAATGTACCCAGCGTGTGATTTTTTTTATTATTTTTTTTTTCCCCACTTGTGATGAGAGTACACTGTTGGCTCATGATCAACTTAGCTTCCACCAAAACCCCTATATCCTTTTCAGCAGGGCTATTTGACAGCCAATCAAGCCTTATTACTTCTTTGCAACCTAATGTTACCCCTACATTTACCCACCCTCTAACCAAAAACCCAGCATTTTTCATCCTGTTTTAAGATCAACTTGACTTAAACTTTACAAGGATTTTGTACTTGTGCTGTTGGCTTGATCTACTGCAGAGATAAGAATCAGCTGCACAATCTGCATACAGCTTTACATGCTTCTGTATCTGGGCTGTATCCAGCACAGTTTTTCACTGTTACGTAGCTTTCCCTCTTGGCATTCCTCATTGTGGAAAAAGCAGCTATTTAATGTTTTTTTCTGTAATTGCTCTCATTAATTACAGGCAGTTAACATATCAGCCTGCGAAAACCCATCTGTAGTCACTAAAGAGTTACAGTTCATATGCCTGACAAGGAAATTTTAGATGTTTGCAGGCAGCCAATAAAAGAAGAGATCAACAACGCAGCTGACTCATGGGCAGGAAAGCTTGAGCTATGTTTGAATGCAGTTCAAAGCCAACTCGAACTTGGTATCTGCAGCAGTTTCACTCTATTGTTCCATAATTTTTATGCCCGTATTTCCAGAGGTAAGTTTTATTTTTGTTTCCAGTTTCTTTTACTGAGACATCTGAATATTAACACAACGTAGTTTCTCTTGTAGTAAGGAAAAAAAATCTTTGCAATAAATTACTTTTAAAAAATTAGCTTTAAAATTAGAAACTTGAAATAAATGGATTTACAGCAGTCTCCCTCCTGCCCCTGCCTGCCCAACTAGGGGAATATGACAAAGTGTCTGAGACTTAGTGTCTTACTAAAAAAATAATATCAAACTCTTCATTGCAAAGGTCACCTAAGAAATACTGGTTTTGTGGTTTGATAGTGAGTTTTTTAAAAGGGTCTAGGAGAAAAAAGCATTCAGATGAGCAGAACTATTGAAAAAATGTCCTTGCTACCAAACTGGCAATCTAGGAGGTAGAGAGAGACTTTGTTATCTGTAATTCCATGATTATTCTCTTCAACTGTTTTAGGAATCCAGGTAGCACCCTGGAAAAATAAGAGCGCTCATTTTAGGGTTAAACTTCTGGAGATTAGCAGCAAATCACTCTAAGTCCAGGTGTGGAAGCATGTAGAAACTCAGACACGGGGACAATGGTGCTCGGCATGTCATGGTTTAACAGAGAAAGATTGAAGTGGTTTTTATTTAGTTTTAGAAAATATCTAGTTAAATTAGGTTTTGCAAATCCAAAATAGGAGCCGATGGCAAGGTTTTATTTTTACCTAAGTAGTCAGCAAGAGTTTAAAAAACTATTATAGCTTTACTTAATTCAATTTTAAATAGAAACAGGTACTTTCAGGAACGGCTTAGATAGTATAGTAATTGTTTGAGCTTCCCTGTACTATGTTTGGAGTTGAGTAAATTATTTTGGCTATTTAAATGATTGTTCAGCATAGTATATAATGAAAGTGAGACATAATTTTGCTCCTGCTGGCTTTCTGATTACCTCCTTTATGTTTTGGATTTGTAGATCTGTGTGGTCTGTCTTTGCAACTTTGAAGGATAAATGGCTCATTTGGAAATTTATCTTCATTCAGAGAAATATTTTCAAATTTTATAAAACTCTCAACCTGTCTGTCAGCCTTATACTATATTGAATTTATTCTTTAAGGAAACTCTAAGAAACACCTAAGGCAGCTATTGCTTTCAAACTACAATAATCTAACAAAAGCAAAAAATTCAGCTGTGCTTTCCAATCAAAATCAAATCCTGTTGAAGCTGAACTGGTAAATCAGCGGCTGAATTTTTATTTGTGTTGTGATTATGGTGAGATGCAAACCTGAGCTTTAGTACCCCTTTGTGATTGTGAACATGCCTGCATGGCACAGCTTAGATAGTGAGATTAACTGAAAATAAGTTGGTCATGAACCAGAAGCAGCTCAGCCATGAGCATAGGCTAATTTAGCTTCATATTTTTGTTTCTACTTCATTCATGGAGAACAAGTGATCTGCTCAAAGTCAGAAGACTTTCAGGCCTTCTGCATCCCAGAAGCTCTTTTTGTAGAGCCCATCTTCTAGCAGGACACAGTTCACACCCAACAGTCCTTACTGGTTACTTCAAATTTTTGGCCCTATTACTTCAGTTCCCTTGTGTGTTTTCTTTTCTCTCTGGTCTGCTGGACCCTAAAGGGAGTATTCCAGTTGGAGTTCCTCTGACTCACTGACAACTGATCTCGCAGTAATCCTTACCAATGGTTTTATCCCAACTGTTTTCTTTGGCTCATTTTCTTCTTTCACCACTGACTTCTGGTTATTCTCTAGTCTAATGTAGCTTCACAGATGTAATTAAAAATGTTACTCATGTAGTAATACAGTGATGCTTTGCAGAGGTTATCTCTAATCCATGTGCACTGCCATGCAATGTGTCTGAAACATTCAGATAGCCCTAGACAGTTACAGTATAGACAGAGTACTGGCCAAATTAGTGGCTACTGTAAAGACACAGCTCTGTTTAGCAGAGTTCTGCCAGCAGCAAGAAATTTCTTTTACCTTGCTTTTGCATTGACATATGCTGTTATATTAAAGAAGATATGCAAGAATGATACAAAAAGACTTGCATGAGTTATTGAATTGCCTTTTCATGAGAAGTCGGGAAACTATATTTGTCTAGTATATAACTGCAAGATACTAGTTTGTCTACATAGCTCAGTATAACTTTAAAAGTCATATTTTGTATTATAAATAATGGCCCCACATTTCAAAGTCATCAGATGGAAATAATGAGCAATTAATTAGCACCTTGCAGCCTCAGATGGCGAGTTATGGTCCAGACACTCCTTTGCAATTAGTGAGTTTTTCCTGTCTTCATAAGGGAAGTCTGACACAGAGTGGTAAAAAGGAGCCTGTTGGATTGGGGTAATAGTTATTTGGGAAGTAAGGGGTGGTACACCTTCACTGTGCATTGGTAGCAGTGACAAAAAGTAGTCCTTAAAACTTTTCTTTTCTACCTTTTTTTTTTTTTTGCCCCAAGCCAGCCATCAAGAAATGGCCAATTCATTACCTGTAGTAGCCCAGGAAGATTTGGATAGCTTTACCTTGACCAGGACAGGCTCAGGCTTCGCACTCAAAGCCTTTCATATTTCTTGGAACACTCACGTCTCGGTGAAGCTGCTGACCAGCCAGGACACTGCGGAGAGGTATGTGTCTTATTTGGCCAACTAACCATGCAGGTGGGCAGCACAGACCTGCAGTGATAGCCCCAGGATGAATTGTGGCATGCCCAGGATCTTCTGATCCCTAAACACAATCCATTCCTAAAATCCTGACTAGCCAAGAGGCAACTTGGAGGCAACTGTACTGAGAAACAAGCTGGTATGTTTTTTTACAAATTTTCATAGAAGTAGAGCTTAATCCTGAAATCATTAATTATTCCTACTATAATAATGTCGACAAACCCTTTCAACTCACAAGTACCATAGAGATAATCAGATCTTTATAATCAAACATACAATTAACAAGAATTGAATCTGCAGCAGTTCAGTATTTCCATGAAAATGCACAATTGAATTGACAGTTCAGTGTTTCTTATGCACAAGGAAGGAACCATTTGAAGTCCTTAGACAATAGAACTTCATTCTTCTGATGATGATCAAAGCAAAGCTTTGTTTTCTCTGTAAATAAACTGTTTGAATTCACATCTGCAATCCAACCACAGATGAGCTTGGATCAAATTTGGCAAAGTCACTAGAGTAGTACTGCCTACACCAAATCTGAATCTGGCTTCACCTTTATATTGTGCTATGATACATCATTTATATAGCATGGTCCATTAGATAAGCATGGAAGATCATAATTTCCTTGTAAATGGGGATCTCGCTAATAGCAAAAGGATACAATACAATTTCTTGGGGACAGTAAGGAGAAAAAAATTGATTTTGCTTAATCTAGCATTTCATATAATTCAGCTTTCTCCTGCCTTTGCAATTCAATCCTGCTTTACACTGTGTTCTTATGTTCATATTAAAGCATCCAGAGGTCTTTCACGTTACATTAGAAAAATACACTACACAAGGGATTGCTTCATTTTCTTAGAATTGTTTGGAAGATGATATAATACTGATTTTATTGGTAGAATTGCATTAGCTTGTGTTCAACCATATGGTTATCTCTCATTTCCATCTTCTACACTATCTCATCTCTAGTTGAAATTCCCTTCAGTCTAATCTGCCTCTAACCCTTGCTATTTTTTACAGGGAATGGAAGTCGCTACTTCAAGATATAGCAAATGTCAGACACTATGAGTCTGAACGTCTCCTGCCTTCTCTTGGGATTTACCAGTACCATGGACTTGTGGGGATAGTGACTGAATGGATGAACAATGGATCCCTCCACACTCTCATCCATGAGGTAGATGAAAGAAGTAATCTTTTAGCGGACTGTTGTGGTTTAACCCCAACCAGTAACTAAGCCCTTCACAGCCGCTTGCTCATGCCACCCCCCACCCCCCCCGGTGGGATGGGGGAGAGAATTGGAAGGGTTAAAGTGAGAAAACTCGTGGGTTGAGATAAAGATGGTTTGATAGTTAATAGTCACTGAGAGCTATTGTAACTAGCCTGGAGGAGAAGGGGAAGGATGGGGGAAAAGTGTCCCCCATTATCTCCCCCATAAATTGGCTCTCTGAGGAGAAAAGGTAAAGACTGTAATTATTAATAGTTTGAGAGATGGTTCCCTAAGTATGGAGATGATGGTAATGCTAGGTGCAAATACCAGATTAGTCTCATGACATAATTACTAACAGTAACTTTATCATACCAAAAGCCAGTGTTACACAGTACAGCAAAGTTATAACCTTAATCTGTCCCCCAGAGGTAATAAACAGCACAACAGAGAACATGTATGGCAAGTAAGGTGTTAGATTAACACAACCCTGAGAACAAGCACAACTCTGAGAGCACATAAATCTGCATTGCAACCAGTGACTATTAACCTAATAATGCTTATAACAAATATGTTTTCACATGCTCTGGTGAGACCTGTTGTTATCTCAACCCTTCAAGCCCTGTGTTAGGCTCCTGAAGGAGCAGGGAAAGTATATTGTCCGGGTTTCAGCTGTGATAATTAATTTTCTTCCTAGTAGCTAGCATAGCGCTGTGGTTTGGATTTAGGATGAGAATAGTGTTGAAACCACACTGATGGTTTAGTTGTTGCTGAGCAGTGCTTACACCAGGCAAGGACTTTTCAGCTTCTCATACTGCCCTGCCAATGAGGAGGCTGGGGGTGCACAAGAAGCTGGGAGGGGTACAGCTGGGACAGCTGACCCCAACTGGCCAAAGGGCTATTCAAGACTATATGGTGTTATGCTGAACAAAAAAAAAAAAATCTAGGGGGTGCTGGGGCTGGGGAGGATGTTCGGAGTGATGGCATTTGTCTTCCCAAGTCACCATTACGTGTGATTGAGCCCTGCTTTCCTGGAGAGAGGCTGAGCACCTGCCTGCTGATGGGAAGCAGGGAATAAATTCCTTGTTTTGCTTTGCTTGTATATGTGGCTTTTGTTTTAGCTACTAAACTGTCTTTATCTCAACTCATGAGTTTTCTCACTTTTAGTCTTCTGATTCTCTCCTCATCCTGCTGCAGGGGGAGTGAGTGAGCAGCTGGGTGGGGCTTAGTTGCCAGCAGAGCTTAAGCCATGACAGTGACAAAATTAATTACCAGGTCAGCCAAAAGAGAACAGTCAGCATGTAAATTATGGACAGTAGTCACAGTCAATCTGTTCTTTAGCTTCTGTGTTGTTCTTCTGTTTATTGTCAAATGAAAATGTGAACAGTCACAATTTCACACTACTAAAACCTGTATTTTGTGTTACTTAGCATCAACTGTACCCAGAACTTCCATTTCCCTTACTCATACGGATCCTGTTGGATGTAGCTGAAGGGCTGCATTACCTTCACAGCCTTGGGCCTGCCTTCTGCCACTGCAGCCTGAAACCCTCCAATGTCCTTTTGGACATGCAGTACAGAGCCAAGGTGGGAGCTTCTACTTTTAGCCTATTAATGTAAAATCCAGTGATTGTCCTATTGTTGCATATAGTTATCCTAATAGTCAACATTTAATACCAAGACTTGAGATATTGTTAGTAATATTTTTCTCCCACCTTTGTAGATAGTGGATTATGGTCTAACCAACTGGCGGAAACAGCAACTGAGGTCAGACCTGCAGAACTGCAATTGGAGAAACTGCCAGGATTTAGTGTACCTCCCTCCTGAAACACTTGAAGGAGGCCTGCCTTCCCAGGAAGGTGATATTTACAGGTGAATGGCATTTCTAAGGGCAGGTAATACCTAGTCCTTGCTACATTCTATAATGTTGCCAAAATACTTGTTTTTCAAAGACGCTACAGTAAAAATGCCAGATCTACATAATGCAGCAGCAGTGTTCCACGTGAAGCCAATTACAGTAGTGTATTAAATTTGAAATTCCCCATATTTGGTGAATAATATATCAAGGTTAAGAACTTGTTCTCAAAGATCATCATATAAATATTTATATAATGGACATAAATGTTTAAAAAGTGTAACATGGCTGCCAAAGCTTTTTGATATACATTAGAAACCTAATAACTACAATTCACGTGGTTTCTATGCATGAACTGTTATTGGCTTTGGATTCTCAAAGAACTGTTGATGCCTAGATGAGGCCCAGGTAAAAATAAGACCCTTCTGTCAATAGTATCCCACTAAGGTCCTATGGAATCTGCTGGAATAACTTACTGAGCCACTCAAGCATTCATACTTTTTAACTAAGGTGATTTATACAAAGGAAGATTACCTACTGCCACATGTCCCTTTTGGATATGTTACATGCTTCGTAGTTGCCTCAGTAAAAGAGACAAGCTCAAACTGTAACTATTGTCTGTATGGACGTTCATCTTTACAGCTGGCATACAGAGCCTGTGGACTAACATTATAAATAACTTTTAAGCATGACCACTCTTCTGCTCCCATAGCTTTTATGAAGGCAATAAATTTAAACTCCTGCTTTACTGTCACAGAGGCAGGCTCTAAGATGAGTCAAATAACGCATACACATGAGGACAGCTTTAAACAATGTGACTAATCTAATGTTCTTCGTAAACACAAGTTTTCTGCGCAGGAAGAGTGGTCCATTACTTTCAGGTGCCATAATTCGTCTTCCAGCATGTAATTCTTGTATAATTTTTAGATGCTCAGAAGTGACTCAATGCATGAGATAGGTGCATGTCTGGACAGTGGTGCAATAGAGAAAACAAAAGTGTGTGTCATATATGAAATAGTACTTAAGTACATGTAAGTTACATGTATGTCCACATTACATCAATACTTTTCTAGAGGGTATTTAAGTAAAAGCACTTTCAGATTTTATGTGGAAATAAGGCAGAAGAGGAGGTTCTCTTAAACACTGTAATTCAGCACTACAGCAAGACACGAGGAAGCAGATAAGTTTATCCTAGAACTACTTCTTCCCCTTTTAATGGCTTTGCTTCTGACTCATCCATAGCGTCATTTCTCTCTTCCAGAAGCCTCCTTGCTTCTGCCTCTGTTTTTGCCAATTGAGCTTTTTATCAAACTGTATTTTATACCATCTGAGTTGTAGGTTATATATGTAGATCTATGGTATCACTGGAATAGTTCCTATGATGTTAGAAAAGGAAAAAGACATTTAGAGCCCCATCAAAATTTGCTGAAGAAAAGACACACAGTGGGTCAGAATCAAGTTTTTGGTAGGTTAACTGATGCATTTGTCTGTACCTGCTGAAAAGTCCAGCTCTTTCAGTTGCTATTTCAGTTACCTGAAAACAAAACAAAAATGATAGAGCAGGGAGAACAGAAGGTTCTGAAATTCACAAGAGCAAACGGAGACAAGGTGGTAATCTGAAATCTAGTTCTAACTGATCCTGTGTTTAAAAAAAAATTAAAAATTAATTAGAATTAATTAATTAGTGGCAAGGGTTGGAAGGGACCTTGGGAGATCATCTACTCCAACCCTCCTGCTAAAGCAAGGTCACCCAGAGCAGGGTGCACAGGACATCATCCAGGCGGGCTTTGAAGATCTCCAGAGAAGGAGACTCCACAACCCCCCTGGGCAGCCTGGTCCAGGGCTAGGTCACCTTCAAAGTAAAGAAGTTCTTCCGAATATTCAACTGAAACCTCTTATGTTTCAGTTTGTGCCCATTGCCCATGTCCTGTTGCTGGGCACCACCAAGAAGAGTCTGGCTCTGTCCTCATGACATCCACCCTTGAGATATTTGTACATGTTGATTAGAAACCCTCTCAGCCTTCTCTTCTTCAGGCTAAACAAGCCCAACTCTCTCAGCCTTTCCTCATGGGGGAGATGTTCCAGTCCCCTAATCATCCTTGTTGCTCTCCTCTGAACTCTATCTAGGAGTTCCTCATCTTTCTTGAACCAGGGGGCCACTGGCCTTCTTGGCAACAAGGGCACACTGCTGGCTCATAAGAACAGTTCAGTTGAAAACCGAAACTTAATAATGCACGAAAAAGGCTCTCATCAAATTAGGAAAAACTTGGTCTTGAAAAGGAAATTAGGAAAGACTTGGTCTTGAAAAACTCCTTCCTCTTAAATCAATAAATGTGCTCTTGGAAATGAGAACATAGATATGGATTGCAAACTAATGAAAGGTCCTTCACTGTTACTTTTTTTCCAGTTTTGGAATATTGTGTTGGGAGAGCCTAAGCAGACGGAAGCCTTTTGAAGGTATTTATCTCTCCTGTTCATGTCTGACTTTGTATTGCCCTAATCTTTTCCACAAATTCCCTTATTGTAGG